AATCAGGTAATCTAAGTACTGGAAAAAAACAGCAATATGTGACTCTTCATTTTGATGTGGCTCAATAGTCCAAACAAAGTAATTATGACGTATGAAAGGTGTACGTGAGAGAATAACCAGTCCAGTTTATCAGATAAATCAGATCCATATGCTAAAAGCAAATTTATGAAGATTATTGGAACGGATCACTTACATTTAGTGATGACACTAAATGTAATCATGCCCTACATGTAGCTCCCATGCTATTTGCATTACAACTATATGCATGTAAAAATATACCAACACCTATATTGTCTAGAGAGCTTTAATATATCACACAGATCACCAGGTGCTGATTGGAGCATCCCCAATATATTCCTCCTATTTGGGTAAAGCTGCCCTCCAGCCAGCATGTAGTTGTTTGCTGAATTGAACCACTAGGGCTCTGTAGGAGGAATCATAAGCCAGATTCTTGTTTTCTTGAGGATCGCCAAAATGGTCGTACAGTTCAACACCAAACACTTGGGTCCAGTCCGGCTTGTACACAGGTTGTATGTTGAATGTGACCCACTCTGTGTATCTGTAATGATCGGTGGTCATGCTGTAGCCCATTTGATCTCCGTTGTATTCATTCCTCGGGTACTGGGAGAATACAGCCTTCTTCCAGTTGGGACTTGCTGGGTTTGTTATCAGAGGTATCAAACTAGTGCCTTCAGTGCAGACTAGAACGTTGGTGGAGTTTTCTGGACACAGATTAATAGGAGGTAGACCTGCAGCTTCTACCAGAGTAGGAAACAAATCCACAAACTCAGTGAGTTCTTCAGTCACGATGCCCTTGTCAGTGAGACCCGGCACATGTATCATCATAGGGGCGTGGGTTGCGAGCTCAAAGTCCGTGTGTTTGCACCACTCACCGTGTTCCCCTAGTTGCCAACCGTGATCTCCCCAGAAAGAGATGATTGTGTTGTTCGCCAGGCCTTGATTCTCCAGCTCCTGGACTATTCTTCCGAGTTCGTAGTCAGTGTAGCTGAGGGCGCTGTAGTAGGCTCTCCTCAAATTGATGATGACGTCGTTTGGGAGTGTGGTGTTGATGTCTCCCGTAACATGTAATTTCTCAATGTCAACGTATTCTCTGAGTTCTGAATAATTAGACCATGCAATTACCGGCATCTTCTCAGGAGCGTAGAGGTTGGGTGGGAGATTGATGGAGGACTCGGGGTACAAGTCAAAGAACTTCTGTGGTGCCACAAAAGGAAGGTGAGGTTTGTGGAAACCTTGGGCGATGAAGAAAGGACGTTCTCCAGATCTGGCTTGAGGGGCTGCTTCTCTGATCATTTGAATCGCATGGTCATTATTCTGTGTGTCTTGAAGGGAGTTGTTATTAAGAACATCCATTGGCACATTCAACCAGGTAACGAACTCCTTGTATACAAAATAATTGGCTCGACCTCCTACTTCAAAATATGGGTCTGTCCAGGAGATCGGGTCGTTGTCGTTAGAAGCATTTCCTGGATGGAAAATCTTACCCGATCCTATCGTTCTGTAGCCATGTTCCTTAAAATACTGAGGGAGGGTGGTGAAGTTACCTCCCACAACTCTCCAGTAAGCTTGTAGATCATACACATGGGTTGTGTCTGGTCTTCGTCCTGTGAGGAGAGATGATCTGCTCGGGGAACACACAGCCTGCTGAACATGGGCTCTCTTTAACAGAAGACTCTTCCGAGCGAGGGCGTCAAGGTTGGGTGAATGTATCGGAGGATGTACAGGGGTGGGGAAGTCTTTTCCTTCAAAAATGGTGAGTTCCGGTCTCATGTCATCTGCCACCAAAAACAACACATTCATACGAGCCCGGGCGGCAGTCACCGCCAGCAGCAGAAGAGTCACCCTCAACATTATACGTCTAAATCACACTGTCTTCCAACTGATGAGTACGGATTTATATATTTTCTGGCCTGTGAAGATAGCAGACGATTCTTATCAGTTGGAAGGTTTGTGAAGTTTGAAAAATAGACCATCCAGCCCTCAACAATAGCAATCAACAGAAGTCCCCTCCAGGAACTGAGACGTTTGTGTTGGTTGAATCTTGACATCCAAAGCAACGCACATCCCATAGTTTGAATGACAGTCAATGCGAGAAGCAGTGGCATCATCCTTTGTTAGACATGGAGGTCTACTTGAGAGAATTCAAAGTCTGATAAGGAGAAAGTGTAAAAATGTTTTGAAACACGCACCTGTCGCCATACATGTGATAACAGCACAGGCGAGCAGTGCATGGTCGGAACCTCACAGTTACTTATCCATGCTGGAGTGTACGAAATGAATGACACTGTAGGAGAGACATACCAGTCTCGGTGTTCCGATACAATAGGTACCACTTGAAAATATCGTGAAAATGAAATGGAAGGATCACTGATGTCCATCCTTAGATGGAATGTAGCAGGTCCTTCCTTACAAAAGAATATTTTGCTAAAAAAGATAAGTTCGGAACTTGTTACAATTTGCTTGTTGTTCAAGTACAAATGTCTGTTATATGCCTTTGGAGGAAGAACATGCTACCTGTTGGTCCCAGCCTGGCGCTCGGCATTCATGGGTACAACAAGGACTGGTCGGCTCGGAGTCAGTATAATGTGTCTGAGTGGGGTATTCATGCTTCACTGCGGCATGGTATTTCAGTGGGCTAGCGCTATAGAACCAGCTTCAGTCTGAGCTAGTGCAAGCAGCCGCACATACACATACACACGCATGCGCGTCGTCATATTAGCGAAATATTCTCAAGCACGACGTTAAACCTAATTTCACCTCACCTCACCTATTACTTTCCCAGAAAATCCTGTCAGTGAGCTGCTGCACTGAAGCTACCATCCAAACAGTAACCTCAGTAAAATATGCCTGCTGTTGCCTCGACGGGACGGTCTTCTCGGAGCATATATTCTTCAAAGTGAGTGAGTTTAGTTTCATGCCGCTTTTTGCAATATTCCAGCAATAACACGGCGGGGGACGCCAGAAATTGGCTTCACACATTGTGCCCATGTGGGGAATCGAACCCGGGTCTTCAGCGTGAGGAGCGAACGCTTTAACCACTAGGCTACACCACCGCCCCTGTTCTTCAAAGAAATACGTGCAGTGAAATTACACGCTTCTATAAGAACAACCCTATATGTCAATGTTTTGAAGAACTTTTAAACGAATATACATAACGGCATTTGAAATTGGTCTAATGTAACGAATGTTATAATTTGGATGACACTTCCTCAGTAAAGTACAGATTCTTGTACTACTTTGGGATAGGAAATCCGAGATTCGAACCCACATTCTCAAAGGCACTCAATCACCACCGCACAAAGCAATCTAACCCTCTCAACCCCAGCGACATCCACAAAAATGGAAGTAGCACAACTGGTTGTCTAATTAACTGGAAATACATCCTATACTATTAAAGAAATGTAGAGAATATTTAATTTTGGTGTAATATTATTTGGGAACCACGTTATATGATTGTACATGAACTGAAAATGAGTATTCCATTCACAATGTGTAATGGTATTAGTGTAGACACGCCGATCTCATGCAAGCGTTTTTCAGGATGTGCACGTGGACATGGTCGGGGAAAATTCGATATTGACAGTGAAACGTGTCAGTGTGTTGCTGTACATTTCAGTGATAAAAACCAAATTGACAGTTGTTCAGTTATCATTTAAAATCAGTCACACGTTTTTGAGTTGCTGAGTCTGATAGCCTTCGAGAACTAGCTCTTTCATAGCAAGTACTTAGATCAAGGGCTAAAACTGAGGCTCAAACCCGCCTTTGTTAAGAAACCGCGGTTAATGTGCCTCTCAAAGTGTGGATGAGTTTGACAGGTGTCAGTTGACACATTTAATCAGAGGGCGTTCTTCCTCCAGTATACCCGTGAAGGTTCGGGTAAGAATATTGATCTTCAGTAACCCATGCTTGTCGTAAGAGGCGACTAACGGGATCGGGTGATCAGGCTCGCTGACTTAGTTGAAACATGTCATCGGTTCCCAATTGCGTAAATCGATGCTCATGCTGTTGATCACTGGTTTGTCTGGTCCATACTCGATTATTTACAGACCACTGCCATATAGCTGGAATATTGCTGAGTGCGGCATAAAACTAAACTCACTCCCTCACACCCTTCTTCCAGTTCTCGTAAAAGGGAATCATACGCATCAACGGTAGGTCTGCACAGTCCACTGCCTAACCCAAACGGATTTGGGCTTTCGTTTTAATATATATATTTTCAAAATGTACGGCAATTAACGTCAGCGTCTCCTCGTCGCTTAATGATGCCATTTTTCTTGACAAAGACGAGATTTTCGCGAGATTCCAAGTCGTATCAACTCATTTATATACTATTTCTAAATCTACATGTAGATATTACAGTTTCTTCAAGTCGCACCGTGAGAACGCACCTTTATCAGAACTCACCCTTCCCTTTCGACACTTAAACATATTTCGAATGTTATAAGAAAACATTATCAGAAATTGATTTATTGTATTTTGAAAACACATATATTCGTCCTTTACCACTTTACTTGCAGTTTGAAGTATACAAAGAAACACGTGCTAGCTGCATTATATACTCATGGCAACGATTAAGGGAACACATGAAAGTACAAGTGTTCCTGTATATATTTCCAGAATTTCACCCATAGCGCAATACATGCCTTGCGAAGAAACCTGGAAAAGAATAAAGGAACACTTGTACTTTCATGTGTTCCCCTTATTCGTTTCCATGAGTATATAACCATGATTTATAACAACTATACCTAATCCAGTTATCTTTTAGATAATGGTTCCATGCTGCTAGAAATCTGACTGACATAGTTCCACAGTACAGCTGTAGATCTTATCACCTTCTCAAACTGCAAGAGTGAGATAATGAAAAACACTTACAAAGAAATACTGTAATGTTCTGGCACCGTTTGACCGTCGCGTTGATTCTAGTTGTTGTGCACGTCCATTGCAAACGGAAAAATGTATTATTTCTTGTGGCAGATGACATGAGACCAGATCTGGACGTGTTCAAAGGAAGAGACTCGCCGTCCCCCGTGAGAGAAAAGGTCCACGCCCCCAATTTGATCTCTTTGACAGGGAGGAGCCTTCTCCTACGTCGTGCCTATGTACAGCAGGCACTGTGTAGCCCGAGCCGCACCTCCCTCCTGACTGGGCGCCGTCCTGACACCACCCACGTGTACGACCTTGACACTTACTGGAGAAAGGTCGCTGGCAACTTTACAACATTACCCCAGTACTTTAAAAACCACGGCTACAATACCCTTGGCTTTGGGAAGATCTTCCATCACGGAGACGCATCAGGAAACAATGATCCGTTATCATGGTCAGAGCCATACTATGAGACCAAACCAGAGGTGAATGGTTTTGCTACTGATGGGAATTCATGGCGAGCGGTACCTACGAATCTTTTAAAGAGCAATTCCCTTCAAGACACCATCACTACAAACGTGGCTATTCAGAAGTTGAAGTCCATTGCACCCAAAGCCCGATCTGGACAGGAACCCTTCTTTTTAGCACTTGGTTATCACAAGCCACATCTTCCATTTGTCTTTCCGGAGAAGTTTCTGAGCTACTACCCAGATGATTCCATTCACCTACCTCCTAATCAGTATCCACCTCTGGACATGCCGTCTATTGCTTGGACAAGATACCCCGAGCTGAGGTCATACAAAGACATTGCTCATCTGAATGCATCTGGAGAGCCCAATACAACCCTACCAGCTAATGTGGTAAAGGCCCTGAGACGGGCCTACTACAGTTGCATCTCATACATCGACGAGGAACTGGGAAGAGTCTTAACGGAACTGGAACAGCAAGGGTTGGCAGATGACACAATTATATCCTTCTTTGGGGACCATGGATGGCAGTTAGGTGAACATGGGTTGTGGAGCAAACACACCAACTTCGATGTAGCTACCCATGCCCCTATGATGCTGCACATACCCGGACTCACCGACCAAGGAATAGTGACAGAAGAGCTTGTGGAATTTGTAGACCTGTTCCCTACACTGGTTGATGCTGCTGGGCTTCCCACTCTTCAAGTCTGCCCTGAAGATTCCTCAAAGATGGATGTGTGCACAGAAGGACAGAGTTTCCTCCCTTTGATCAAGCAGCCCAAAACTGATAACTGGAAGAATGCTGCATTTTCTCAGTTTCCTAGACACCAGAATCTTCGTCATCAGATAATGGGGTACTCGATGACGACCGGTCGTTATCGATACACTGAGTGGGTCGGATTTGACGGTACTCATTACAAACCCCACTGGTCAGCATTGTATGGTGCAGAGCTGTATGACCATTATCAGGATCCACAGGAGAACGTCAACCTGGTTCATGAGCCTGCCCACAAGGGCCTGGTGGCCAGGCTCAGTAATCGTCTTCACGCAGGGTGGAGACATGAAGTAACCACTCACCAGGGGCCTTCTATTATTGGGTAAGGTTCCAGTAATAAAAAACTGAAACGTGTTCGAAGTAATTGTATATAATTAGTAGTTAAAAGATGTGAGTGGGTAGGAGAGGTTGGTTTTATGCCGTTTGAACAGTGTTTCATTATCCGCTGTGTCTACATGATTTTTGAGTGAGTGAGTGAGTGAGTTTAATGCAGCAGTTTTAGCAACATTTCAGCCATATCACGGCGGGGGATACCAGATATGGGTTTCTCACGTTGTACCCATGTGAGTAATCGAACCCGGGTCTTTATCGTGATGAGCGAACGCTTAACCCACAAGACGCGCATGATTTTGGAGGAACGACCTAGGTAATGTAGGTGCGAGCGTGAGTGAAATTCACGAGCAGTTGGATGGTGCAGACAGTAAGTGAGTGAGTGAGAGAATGAGTTTGGTTTTAAGCCGCTTATAGCAATATTCCAGCAATATTACGAAGAGGGACACCAGAAATGGGCTTCACACATTGTACCCATGTGAGGAATCGAATCCGAGTCTTCAGCGTGACGAGCGGACGCTTTAACCACTAGGCTACCCCACCGCCCCTAGTAAGACATGAGGTGAGGTGGGGTTTAACATTGTGATCGTTAGTACTGCACTTAGACAGTGACGTGCATGCACGTATGTGTGGCTGCTCCGGTGGGGAATAACATCAGTTATACATCACTAAGCCACTGAAATATCATGGATAATCAGTTCATACAAATTACCTCCATTACCTTTATGCTCATCGCCAGGCATGGCAGCATCAAGTACCATTTAACCTTTTTGTATATAATGCGATCAGGGATGTAACAAATGGATACATTGGGGTGGTATTTATTGAGTCATATGTCTAACTGTAAAACGATCCTGCTGAGGGAATATTTTTATACTGAACAGTACCATTCTCAGTTGTTTAAATTCCAAACATGATGAAATAATAACGCTAAAACGATAAGTGATTTCCTAAATGAGCACATTTAATGAAGTACTGTACCCTTCAACCGATGATGACACCGCCATTACTTCCCGCCATCTGGGCTCTCCACCCAGCACGGAGCTGTTTCCTCAACTGGCCGCGAAGTCCTTGCTGGGAAGCATGTCTCGCGATGTTGTGATTCTCCTGAGGATCGTTCAGATGGTCGTACAGCTCCACTCCATGAAGCTGGTCCCACTGAGGCCTGTAATCCGGCTTACTGAGGAAAGTAACCCATTCAGTGTAGCGATACCTGTCCGTGGTGATTGTGTAGCCCATGACTGGCTTGTGACTATACCTTCTCGGGTACTGAGAGAAGGCTGCGTTCTTCCATGTGGTCAGACTTGGCTGCTTCAACAGAGGAACTAGACTGGTTCCTTCTGTGCAGAGGTGACTTGAGGACGAGTCCAGTTGACATGTTGATAGTTTGGGAAGACCTGCTGCTTCTACAAGAGTCGGGAACAGGTCCACAAACTCTGTCAGTTTTGTTGTACTCATTCCTTTGTCAGTCATCCCTGGGACGTGGATCATTAGAGGTGAGTGGGTAGCGATGTCAAAATTGGTGTGTTTACACCATTCTCCGTGTTCCCCTAACTGCCAGCCATGATCGCCGAAAAAGACACAATAGTGTTGTTGGCAAGGCCTTGCTTCTCAAGCGCATCAAGAACCTTCCCGAGTTCAAAGTCCATGTAGCTGACAGCGCTGTAGTAGGCTCTGCGGAGTTGCTTAACCACCTGGTCAGGCAAAGTCGTGTTCGGGTAGCCCGATGCATTTAGTGGAGCTATGTCAGTGTAGTGCCTCAGTTCGCCATAAGTTGCCCAGGCAATATGAGGCATGCCGTCAGGAGCTCGTGGGTTGGGAGGAAGATGAATTGAGTCTTCTGGGTAATAATCCAGGAAGCGAGCTGGAAACTCGAACGGCAGATGGGGCTTGTGGAACCCAACAGCCAGGAAGAAATTCTCGCCATTCTTTGTTTTTTGAGTGATGTCGTTTATTACCTGTACGGCGTGATCGGCTATTAAGGTGTCTTGTAGAACATGCTGGCTGTCGAGTAGATTATCTGGTACAGCTTTCCAGCTTGATCCATCTTCGAGGTAATGGTTTGCTTCATGGGCATCGAAATATTTCTCAGACCACGAGACGGGATCATTTCCTCCTGAAGCTTTACCCGGGTGGAATATCTTGCCAACTCCAATACTGTGGTAGCCGTGGTTCTTGAAGAACTGAGGAATGGTGGTGAAGTTGCCGCCAACGTGCCTAAAGTAATTGTCAAGGTCGTACACGTGGGTTGTGTCAGGACGGCGCCCAGTCAGGAGAGAGGTGCGGCTCGGGGAGCATAGAGCCTGTTGAGCATAGGCTCTCTTGAAGACCATACTCTTACTGGCGAGACCTGCTAGATTGGGAGCGTGGATTGGTGGATGAACCGGAGATGGAAAGTATGGGCCATCGTACATGGGCAGCTCAGGACGCAGGTCATCAGCGCAGAGGAACAGGACGTTCATTCGGGCACTGACGCACGATATCAAGCAGAAGACGTATATTACAAACTCCATGTTTGCCTCCTTTTCTGCGGTTCCGAGATTTTTTGTGGGACAGTTAAGATTATGTCCCGTGTAACAGTGAAACTACTGAGTCTTAAAGTCCGTGTCCAGACCTGGGATAGGTTAATGGTGTACACAAGCAGGACATGTGTCTACATACCCATGAAATGATAAGGCCGACACAGTTACTGTCAAATAAGTCAGTTGAAAGGTTAGGAGATTATTCACAGAATAGGTTCAATATCTGATGTGTGTATGTGTGTGTGTGTGAGAGAGATAGAGAGAGAGAGAGAGAGAGAGAGAGAGAGAGAGAGAGAGAGAGAGAAAGAGAGAGAGCACAGAGAGACATACAGAATGATTGAGACCGATAGAATGGCAGACAGATGACAGAGACACATGAGAGAGACACGCGGAGGGAGAGAGTGACAGAGACAAGGAGAGCGACAGAATGGCAGACAGATGACAGAGAGACACATGAGAGAGACACGTGGAGGGAGAGAGTGACAGAGAAAAGGAGAGCGACAGAATGGCAGACAGATAGTGACAGAGCGACACATGAGAGAGAGACAGACGAAATATAAAGGAGAGAGTGATAGAGAGAAACAAACTTTGACACAGAGAGAGACGACAGAGACATAGAGACTGACAGAATGACAGGCAGATAATGACAGCGAGACACACGAGAGAGAGAGGGGGGGAGAGGTCAGATAAAAGGGAGAGAGTGATAGAGAGAATCAAACAGTGACACAGACTGAGACCGAATGGCAGACAGATCATGACAGAGAGAGAGACACAGAGGATAGATAAAGGTAGAGAGTGATAGAGACAAAGACAGAGTGAGGTAATTGCAGGACAGAGTGAGCGAGTGGGTTTTTGCGTCACTTAGGCACTTATGTATCAGAACATTATGGGTAGAAGGTTTCAATTACTGGAGCTTGGAGTCGGGTCAGGTTCGGGTACAGTGAACACAAAACAAGGCGCTACTAGAACAAGAATCGTGATGGATCCAAACCTACAATCCTGACCGAAAGACCACTGAGCCACCCATGGCCACCAGAACAGACGTGTATTCATGTGAATGAGTCAGGAATGAAGCGTCACGTATGGCATACCATATGACAACCTGTGTTCCCAAAAATGGGGGAAAGAAAGAACGAAAGAGGGAGGCTTCATCATTTTAACGAATACACATAGTTGACAGCAGTTATTATAAAAAGCACGTTTCTCATATTCAAACAAGACGTTCAAAAGAACAAAACAAATATTTGACATGCGTAATATGAGTCACGGGCCACCTGTCTGGGGGTGGAGAGGGTAGCAACGTCGCACTTGATGGATTGGACTAGCAGGGGTGCGCGGGGTAACCCTTTGGTAGATTAAACATCCACAAACTATACAGCGCATTCTATTCACAATATCACATAAAATGTTATATATATTTCGTCTTTTTGAATAACCCACAAAGGCGTTCATATACAACAATACAACACACTACACCGGCCTTTTCAACTCCACCAAACAATCAGGACTGCAGGTGGCATATCCCCGTTGCAGAAGCAGAGACATCTTCTCGACTGGTTCTCGGCACGGCTGACGAAGCGCCAGTCACGTGGAACGCGCGGGAGGCGCGAAATAAGGGGATTGGTCACATATTTGTCGCGCAGTGGGATAGGATTGTATTTTGAACGAGGAAGGAGATACCTGTTTGAAAATCCTGTGGGTCATTTTCTTCTGGACGTACCAGCTGTTGAAACAGTCTGGTTGCAAAGATTCCTGTTCATTGACAAGGTAGGACCGTCTTCTATCTTCTGTGACATAAAGTTTAAATATTGTTAATATGTTAACACCGAAATGATATAGATGTAATGTTTGAAACTCTTACCCTTCACCGTAAGTTGGAGGGTTCCCACAATAGAAAGACAAACAGGTTGTTGATGCTAAATAGGTTTAATTAAGATCAAGAGTGAATACTAGGTTCAACTGTACGACACCTCACATAGATCAATAGCAAATCGCTTCAGTTGCACAAACACTCCGAAAAGATAATCATGTTCAATATTATTTAACCTTTTAATTGTATATTGACTCACATGGGTCTGGAGTAAATAGGATTCACTCTGTACAGATCATCAGGTTCACTCTGTACAGAGCATCAGGTTCACTCTGTACAGAGCATCAGGTTGACACTGTACAGAGCATCAAGTTCACTCTGTACAGATTATCAGGTTCACTCTGTACAGATCATCACGTTCACTCTGTACAGAGCATCAGGTTGACACTGTACATATCATCAGGTTGACACTGTACAGAGCATCAGGTTGACACTGTACAGAGCATCAGGTTCACTCGGTACAGAGCATCAGGTTGACACTGTACAGATCATCAGGTTCACTCTGTACAGATCATCAGGTTCACTCTGAACAGATCATCAGGTTCAATTCTATATTAACATAAGTGTGACATAGGTCGCCTCACATAGATCAACAGTTAAAAGGTTCAGTTGTACAACACACCATACAGATAGGGTGTAAATAGGTTTAATTTTGTTTGAACACTCAGTTGTATTTCGACCTATATACGTTAATAATAAAAAGGTCATAAAATTCCATAATACCCAATATTAATCCAATGATACAGATTGTTGTATAATACTCCACATATATTATAGAAAATAGGTTCAATAGTACAACATTCAATACTGATCACAGGCGGTGGGGTAGCCTAGTGGTTAAAGCGTTCGCTCGTCGCGCTGAAGTCCCGGGTTCGATTCCCCAGATGGGTGCAATGTGTGAGGCCCATTTCTGGTGTCCCCCCGCCGTGATATTGCTGTAACATTGCTAAAAGTGGCATAAAACTAACTCATTCATTCACTCACTCCTTCACTCACTCACTCACTCAATACTGATCAATACCGTTAGTAATAATTATATCTGAACATCCAACATACTTGAGGGTGGATGGAGGGTGCGGTGAATGGGGAGGTTGTGCGTGGCAGCTTCGAGTAAACATCTTTCTTTATGAATATGATAACTTGATAAATAAGTCTTCTTATTGCGATTTTTGTGAATACGTTTTGGGGTGGACATTTTCACTCGGTCCAGAACACGACCAGCTGTCTAGCTTTGGGGAAATCCCATATTCCATTTCAAGTCTCTTAGAGACAAGAATGAACTGGTTATGGGTTCGAATCTTAGATTCAAAACGATTACTATCCTTAAGGCATAAAACCCATGCTTTATTGAAAATGGCTCCCTCAGTTTGATCGATCGGTCTTTCCTTTTACATGATCATCTATAATTGAAATATGGCGGCGTTGAAGCCAGTTCTGTGATATACTACTCATGATGCTCTATACAGAATGTATGCATTTGATTCATGGGATATATTGGGTGAAAGAAAGACTTCCAATTTCAGGAGTTTACACACGCTGTAAAACAAATGTATCGGCCAAATTGCTTTCAAATAAAAGAAATACGGCGCCAAGAAGAAACATCCCTTTGACAGAAAACAATAAATATATAGCCTAAATATATGAAAAATTCACAACGCACAACATATACATATATTTTTATCGTTTCCATTCAGAACCCAAGATTTGGATACGCGATAGACAGAAACCAATACAGTTGAGAGTATTTTTACAAGGTTTAGGGAGGAAGTATCTACTTGGTGTAAACCTAATTCGACAGATGGAATTCTGATTATACTGAAGCCACATTATTGAAATAAACTGAACACGTCAATTCCTGAAGGAGCTTAACGGAGCTGTGCCTCCCCGTGCACTGCGCTCTAACACAGCCTTTTCATCATCGCTGTACACCCACTTCCAACAATCACATTCCGCGGAGGAAAGTAGTTCGCTGTTTGCTCTGAGTAATCAAATCTCTTTCGGGGGGGCACGTAAAAAGATGAGGGCCACTTTTTGAAAGAAACACGCATGTTAAGATAGGGAGGAATTCTAGAAGGAAGCTTTTATGAGTGATAATTTGATCATGAAAGTGTACAAAATACCACCCTGAGCTCAAGGTGCTTCGACAATCAGCATTACACTATTAATGAAGTAGGAACAAAATGCTTTCATCTGTAATAAAATAGCTATGGTATTGTCGTCTTGTTAGTATTGATATGACTGTGGTGCTACTTGGTTAAATGATTTAATGTACTGAGAATTGCGCTTTATGTGATCACTCAGTGGCCTCCTGGGTAGAGCGTCTGTCCGGGGAGCGGAAGGTCGATAGTTCGATCACTTTACGCATCACACCAAAAGATGTTAAAATATCGCCATGGATAGCATTATTCGGTGATACCAGCAAGGACAGTTTGGACCTGAGTCAGTTCACTGAATCGACCTTAAAATTGGGCATATTACAAATAGTTATTTTTCACCAGCTTTAGTCTGGACACCACAATACGCGCACGCACACACGTACACACACATGCTCCCGTAGTGTTTGCGCAAAGCACAAAGTCCGTATTCATATACAGTATATGTTGACAACCAAATAGATATTGTTTGCTTGGTGAATATTAGTTAACGCCACAGCAAGCAATAACTAACGGGATCGGGTGGTCAGGCTCGCTGACTTGGTTGACACATGTCATCGGTTCCCAATTGCGTAAATCGATGCTCATGCTGTTGATCACTGGATTGTCTGGTCCAGACTCGATTATTTACAGATCGCCGCCATATAGCTGGAATATAGCTATGTGTGGCGTAAAACTAAACTCACTCACCCACTCACAGCCAGCAATAACATCTTCAGACTATTAAAATGCTGTCTGTGAATAATCCCGGACCAGACAATCCATTGATTGGCGTCATGCGCCTCTTTTTGTTTTGTTTGATTGTTGTTCAACACCACACTCAGCAATACTCAAACTTTATGGCGCTGTGTAAATAATCCTGCCTGGACCTGACAAGCCAATGATCAACAGCATGAGCATCGATCTACGCAAAAGGCGCAAGCGTCGGCCTGACCACCCGATCCCGTTAGTCGCCTCTTACGACAAGC